GGGGGGGGGGGGGGGGGATTCTGGGAGATGCAGTTCTGACAACTCTGGAAAGCGCTAGGTGGGGAGCACTGTCCAAGGTGGTAGGCCAGTGTTTCTCAACCTTGGCCACTTTAAGATGGGTGGACTTCAGCTCCCAGAATCCCCCGTGCTAGCTGGAGAATTCTGGGAGTTGAAGTCCACCCATCTTAAAGCGGCCAAGGTTGAGAAACACTGCCGTAGACAAACAGTGGCCTAGACTGGAATACCTTTGATTTGGAATCTTGCAAGAAGTAACATAATCTGCCCTTTCTTAATTCTTCTTCTTAATGCAACTTTCTCGCCCTCAAATATTAAGGCAGGAAAAAAAATGGCTGCTGCGTTCTTTTGTTTATTCCTACATCTTTTGAATAAAGCTTTTATCAAGAAAAACTACTGTACTGAGCTGTTCCATTTTTTTAGACCATCCACAACGCTTCCCTGGCCTACCTTATCTGGGTGACAAACATCTGGATGACCATTAGATGGCAGGAAAGAGCCAGATCAGCTTTTCTTTTCCTTAGTAACCTCCATTTAAAATAAATAACTGCAACGTATCTGACAGTTCAAATCTCTGGGAGAAACTTTTGAGCAAAATAATTAAACCCTTGAATAGATGGCACCACCCTGAAGATAGCTACATTTTCAAAATTATTACTATTATTTAATGTATGAATAGCAGGATCAAGAAGTAGAGCTGCTACGGACAGCAGGTGTCGGGCTGAATGTGAATGAGCTGCTCCTCCTAAAAATTAAAAATAGCTGAGCCGAGTTCTTCCTTAGGTTCAGATTAAAATGTTTTGTTCGCAGGATCCCACTGGGCGGATTACCTGCTAATGAAGATGTGGGGAGAAGAACTACAGAAGCAAAGAACAAGATATGTGTTTCAGACCAGGCTTCTCCAAGCCGGCAGCTTCTAGAGGTGCTTTGACTACAGCTCCCAGAATTCTCAGCCCTGGGAACTGGAGAATTCTGGGATTTGCAGTCCTTACGCACTTCTGGAGCGGGCCAAGTCCGAAGACAAAAGTGATAAAGATGAACAAGTCGAAGCCAAGAAAATGCTGAGCCAACGGGAACCAGGAAATTGCACTATGTGTGAATGTGTGTGCAAGTGTGCAAATGGAAGGGCCTTTGCCACCCACCACATCCCAGGAGCTCCGGAGCCAGGCGCTCGAGCATGCACAGATACCCCCTTAGGCTCAGCCGTTAACCACGCCAGGCCAAGATCTAGGCTGGGGTAGAGGTTGGACTAGGAGCAGGAAGACCCAAGTTTAAGGCCAAGGAAGCTTAAACTTCCCTGGGAGACTGTGGTCAATCTATTCTCGCTCACTCACTCTCTGCCTGGCCTACCTCACAGGGGTGTTGTGGGGGAAGCCACAGACAGGGCAATGTTTTGCCTGCTTTCTGGAACTCCTGGAGGAACAACTCCACAGGACGAAAGGAAGAAGATGCCATTGGAGCCCCGGCTGCTACCCACAGCCAGTGCCAAGGAATGATATGGACCGCAGGGGCATTTCTAGCCCCTGCTCTCCCACCGGCCCAGGAGAGTGCCCTGCCACAAGCAAGCCACCTTACGTGGGTGCAGGACCACGTGCAGGAACATGAGCCCCCAACAGAGCCCAAGAGGGGCAGAAGTCCAGGTGGGCGCCCCAGAGTTGCGACGGTGGGAAAGGCTGCGAGGAAGCCGGGGAGCCCAGGCCAATCCGGGGGCGGGGGGCTTGCGGGGTCTTTTCCCCCCAGCACTGCTTCTGGGTCAGGCGGGAGAGTCAGGGAGGGGCTGCGGCCCTCCCAAAAGACACTTCCTGAAAATCCAGCAGTTTTCTCACACTTTGGGGAGGGGGCGTTGGGGAGCCCCTGAAAGATGGGGTAGGGTTTATGTGGTTTTTCTTTTTCGGGATACACGCTGTGGATCCTTTTCTCTTCTTCCTCAAAAGCCCTTGGAGCCACTGGGACTTGGGCATTCTTTAAATCTAGGCGAGTAAGCGAATAAATTAAAAAAGTGCCATAAGCTGAGAATCACTAGATCAGTGTTT